GAGAACTCAACTTTCAGAATCCTAAGACAGATCTAGAACACAAGAAAATCGTTTCTTTTGAGGTTCTAGTTCCTGGGATTCGATCCCAAGTCTTGAAAACCCTATTTACTTCACAGATCCTAGCAGATCAGTTCCAAAAGCGTTTGGAATCCTTCCCGTCGGTGTGGATACGTGTAGAGGAGCTGTACTTTCAGCTCTTGGTGATTAAAACAGGCCCTGGATCGATTGATACTTTCAGATCTTCAGGAAAGAGGTAAGTATTCGATTCCTACGGTGATATACACGATTGAACGGGGTTTTACGGATGATTTTGGTTGCGTGTGACGTTTGACTAGGTTTAGATTATTCTTCCGCTGCATGAAACCTAGTAAACCAAACCCTAGATCGATATGATCGCATGCTAGGAATCCGTAGCCCAAAACCCAACATATGTATGTATGTGTATGTATATTTGTATGTGTGTAATGTATGTGTATGAATGTATATGTATGTGAAAATGTATATATGCTTGGATACATTGCCACTCTTTCATATTAATATCTTCAAATTGCGTATGTAACAAATGTAGTCATACAATCACGACGCATTCGCTGCCTTGAAACGCTTCTTATAGTTTCACCCAGACATTCTTTGATGTTGTTACATTTATCACCTTTCGGAAAACTATATCTTTGATAGAAGGCTTTAGTAACTGAAAGGGTCGTTAGTCTTTTTTCTCTCAATTGTACGATTTGTAATGTGTGTGATGCCGATAACACTTGTAGAGCCTCATTTTTAACAATATCTCATAACTCTCTTAACATCAACAACGTTGTCTTCATTCCTGGCGCCCAAAGTTCGTAATTTTATTCATCGAAATTTATGACCAGTTGAATATGTTATCGGCTTTGCTGCTATGTTGCTATTTGTGTAATTGTGCCTTTAGTGCATATATACTTGAGATTAGTGCTCCCCTTATACTCATTGTTTGTGTCTTCTCGTACTTAATTTTGCTCTGACGTTTTGCTTCAAATCGATTCCGATTCTAATACCATTTTGTGAAAATTTAAATTTTTTATTTATTTAGTTTTCTATTATTATATTTTTCAAGTACTGCAATAGCGCGAAAAAATAGAAATAAAAATAATTATTGGAAAAATCAACATATAAAAAAAATTTAATGAAAAAACGAAGAAGAAGAATGGAAGAGAAATGTTTTTTGGGTGAATCGCCGTAAAATACCTGTATTTTTCCTTGGTCTCAATTTAATACATATATTTTTTTTAATTATTGAATAATACATGTACAATTGGTTTTTCCCTAAATAAATCTTATACTTTTAAATTATTAGCCAAAAAATACCTACCGTCAAATAACCGCCACGTCGACAAACGGAAATCCTACATGGCGGTAAAATTCTCATCATCTCTCCTAATCATCGCGTCATGTCATCGTCACATCACACATTCAATAAAAAATAAAAATTAATTAATTAATAATAATTAATTAATTAAATAAAAAATCATAAAAATAAATAATAAAAAAATATATATAAATACATATATACACATACAAATATATATACATACATACGTATATAAATATATACATACATATATATATACATACATATAAACACACATATATATACATATATATATACATACATATAAACACACATATATATATATATATTAATACATATATATAAACATACATATATATACATATACATATATATACATATATACATTCGCATATATATATATACATATACAATCACATATATATACATATGTATACACATATATATAGATATACATACATATACAACACATACACATACATATACATATATATATACATAAAGACATGTATATACATATATTTATATATTTATATATATGTATATATGTAGCATGTATATATGCGAATGTATATATATATATGTATGTATTTATATATGTATGTGTTTATATGTATGTATGTATATGTATATATATGTATTGATATATATATATATATATGTGCTTATATATATGTATATGTATATGTATACGTGCATATATGTGTATTTATATATGTATGTATGTATATGTATATATATGTGTATGTATATGTATGTATTGATATATATATATATATATGTTATATGTGTGCATGTATTTATATGTATGTAATATGTGTATATATATATGTGTGTATATATGTATATGTATGTATGTATATGTATTGATATATATATATATATATGTATGTGTATATATGTATATTTATATATGTATTGGTATATATATATATGTGTGTTTATTTGTATGTATATATATGTGTATATATATATTTATATACATATGTATATATATGTCTATGCATATATGTATATATATATATATATATATATATATATATATATTTATTATTTATTTTTCTGATTATTTATTTATTTAATTAATTATTATTGTTAATTAATTTATTAATTAGTTATTTTTATTTAATTTCTGACGTGGCGATGACATGGCGCGATGATTAGGAGAGATATTGGGATTTTTGCCGCCACGTAAGATTTCTATTTGTCTATGTGGCGGGTTTTTGACGGTAGGGATTTTTTGGTCAATAATTTAAAAGTATAGGATTTATTTGAAAAAAAACAAATTGTATAGGTATTATTCAATAATTAAAAAAGTACATGTATTAAATTGAGACGAGAAAAAAGTAGAGGTATTTCACGGCGATTCTCCTTTTTTATTTATTACCTGTTATTTTTGTTTGATGAATAACACAAACTCATGGACCTATTTATACATACACCAAATGCACACACTCACATTTATCTTCAAAGAAAAAAAACTCGAAACAAGAGGAGAGAGAGAAAGAGGGAGAGATGGCGTCGAGAGGGAGCATCGTAGTGGAGGTAGATGCAAAATCATCGGGCGAGGAGATGTGGAAGATTCTAGGCGATCCAATCACGAACTTCCCCAAGATTCTTCCAGATTCTTACAAGAGCATTCAAGTCATCCAAGGATCTTCCTTCGCTCCCGGAACTGTTGCTTTGGTCACATATGGCGAAGGTACCTTCCACCGATATATACGTGCGCGTATATATATATATATATATATATGTATATGTACTTGACATGCATGATGAGATATGTTGTTGAATTAGGTTTTCCGACGAAGACAGCGACGGAGAAGATAGTCTCAGTGTCGGAAGACGAACCGAACAAGGGCTACAGTTACACTGTGATTGGAGGGATGGAGGAATTGTACAAAGCTTTCGATGGAACCTTCACGGTGATTCCAAAGGTTCAAGGATGTACTGTGAAGTTCTCTTGCCAGTACATCAAAACCAACAAGGACATTCCCAATCCCACATTGATCGTCGACTTCAAGATCAAGAACTTCGTCGACATCGATGCTTATCTCCAAAATAACTAGTTGATCATATATATATATATATATGTTTGTGTGTGTGATATGAGGTATGCAGTGTATGTATGTGTGTAATGAATAATGGTCATGAGAGGGATCAAATGATGGAATATGGGATATATTTTGCTTTCTAAGATATATGTGAAAAACATTCTAAAATATTATAATAATATTTAGATTTGATTTTATTTATATCTTTTTAGATATTTATTTTAATTTAAGAAAAATATTTTGTGATTTTAATTTTAGCTATAAATATTATAATATTTTATATTGAATAATGAAAAATCCAACAATTTTTCCACACTTTTCCGTGGTAGTACAAAGCATTTCAAAAACTTAAATAAAAAAAATGCAAAATCTTTGAAACCCTCTAAAATCCATAATACATTAAAGGAAAAATACAACACAAAAACCATACTCCTATTTTTTTTTAATTGAAAAAATTAGATAATGCAAGGTTAGTAATGAAGCCATGCACAAAAATTGAAAAAACAAATCCACACTCCGCATGATATTTTGAGATCTAGACATGACCATCGACAGCGTCGTTTTCTCTCAGAAGAGGAACAGTCTCTTGTGTATTATTGATGATTTCACCCTTCTGATTCATATGATTCTTGTCTTCTTCCTCGTGAACTTGTCCCCACATTATCATTAGGTATCCAATCCCAGCTACCGTCGCTCCTAACACACTGCATATAAAAATCATACTATATGATAAATACCAAAAATCAATAAAGAATTAAGCATTATATCTTCACTTATATGCCCAAAAAAAACCTCATATTTACTTGGAATAAGCTTCACTTTCTGTGCTTGTTCAAATCCATGGTTTTTAATAAAAGGGTTGAATCTCGATACATTAACTAACACACAACACGTAAAGTTACAAATTAATCGGACCCATGAGTATTCAAAAAATTCTGACTCAAATTCAAAATTTATAGGTATTAGTTAGTAGTTAATCATATTGCGTTATGTTCAACATGTATAATGTTTTCCTTTTCTTTTTCGGTTTTAGATAGTAACATAATTTTTTCTATTTTCTATATACATATAGTTGGTGGTGTGTTTGATGTGTAATTTTCATACATGCTTTTGTATTCATTTGTCATTTTCAATCTAGAAAGTTTCTTCCACTACCATAAATTTCTTGATATATGAAAATATTTATTTCTTAATTCAATTTACACGATTCAAATAGAAACGATTCTGATGATGATAACGATGTATGTTGGGACTGGGTGTCACAAACTTGTTTTCTTATGTATATCATATACCATATCAGATGAATAAAAATATGAATGACTTCTTTGAAATAAATACAAAAACAAGAAATAATAAAAAATATATAAAAATTAATTTTAAATAAAAAAGAAAAATATAACATTTCGTATAGTTTACAAAGAAAGAGAGAAAATGAAAAACAAAAGCAAAGAAAAAATAAAACACGCAAAACTAAACAAGAAACAATTTAAAAAACAAAAAATCATAAAAAAAGCAAAAGGATAAACAAAAGTCAAAGAAAAATAAAAAATATAAAGAGAAGTAAAAAAAATGAAAATATGTAAATATAATATTTAAAAATAAAACTAAAAGATACAAGTTATTGAGTTTTAGAAATTTGGAATATGATATACGAAAAACAATAAAGGAAACGATTTGTACAAAAAAAGTAAAAATTCTAAACTTGGGAAACCCTTAAAAAAGAAATGAAATATAATAGAAAAGGAACATCAATGGAGGAAAAAATAATTGAGAAACGAGTAACAAAGAGTGTTAAGTTTTACAGTAGTAAAATCCTCAAATAAAATGTCAAAGTTCATCCTCAAAGAGGAAGCCTCAAAACTTCAATGAAAACGGGTACGGTTAGTAAAAAAAATAGATATTTGTAAGTATATGATGTATATATAAATTAATGGAAAAAATAATTGCAATGCTATGTATATATTGCATAAATAGAAATCATGTTTGCCAATCGATAACTAATAATTAAGTATTAACAATCAATATATTATAGCCGTACCTTCCATAATGAAGACTGTTGACAAAGAAACTTGTGCCAAAAATGGTAGCCCAAAGGATACCAAATGGCTTGAACAATGGCACATAATAAGGCCCCTTCAATTTGGCACATTTCACATGAACACTTGTCCTGATTATGCTCCCAAAGATACCCTAATGAAAAAATGGAACGTACCATATATAAAATAAGTAGTTAACCACAAACAATTATCCTTAATTATAATCCATTAATTATAATGTATATAACATATGCTCACTGTGGCAATGATGAGCATGAGGTCCATGTTAGGCTTCAGTTTCCATGCATTTAGGTCAGACTCCATGATTGCTGAGAAAATTGAACATTGGACTGTCCCTGCTAAGCTGTAAGCAGCCACTACTTTCATCACCTGTGGATACTTCCTCACTGTATCCACCTGAAATATACCAAAGCAAAAAACAAGAACCTAATCTTAGGTTTTTGCCCTGAAACTTTGACAATACAAACACCGATGATGGCCCGAAATCATGTAGCATTTTTTTTTGTATTGAGACTGGTTTACCGAACTTTCGGCCCAATTACATCCATCCGAAATCGAAGACAATCTTGATAAAATTAAATTGTATCTTTCCTCTCCAACAGCCATTCGAATATGGGATACTGGGACAAGAACCCCTTATTTTTCTCAACCAATTACACCAGTTGGCCTATTCTGATTGGGTGAAATCATGTAGTATTCGCTGTGTTCATAGGCCTTTTTGCTTTTTCTTGCCCTCTTTGCCGACATTTTATACCCTTTTATTATGTAACGAGTGTATTCAGCAGATGAACATTTTACTGGCTTTATTTCATGGGAGTGTGATCATATAAGTTGTAAAACATGGACCGACCCATGTACGTACTTTAATTTCATTTATGTTGCAAAATCGATATATATATATATCATGAATATATTTTTTTTTTACCTGGATGAAATTCCAAGCGGAGACAGAGAGAGAGGCGCAGGCAAGGAGAAAGCAACCAAGAACCCAATTGTCGGAGTTCTTGAAGAAGACCAAGTGTCTTGAAAGCAAAGAGTTTGGAGAAGAGGAGGGAGAAGGTCTTGTGTAAGGTCCGAGGTAAATCACTTCCACCATGGCTCCTGTCAACGACACCAACGTGCCTATCACTTTTCCTCGTGTTGTTGTTCTCTCCCATTCCAACTTCGCTTTCCTATTTACATGTATGTATATATATATTCAGAATTCTAAAATAAAGAACAAAAAAGACGTGAATAGAGATCGTGTCAGATTTGCGACGTAGATTCTTTTATTGCATGAGATTTGCTTGTTTTGATCGTTGTTGTTATGTCTGTGAGATCTGAATGATTTGGAACATGGCATGTAATAACAAGGCTTTGGTTACGTTTTTATAGGGGTTTGGATGATGTTCAAAGAATTATTTTGATATTTTTCTCTATGATCTTAATTCGAAATGCTAAGATGCTATGAAGTCTCATGAATTTTATTCATTTATTTATGATTTCTAATGTTCTCAAAATTTTAAAAATCAAAATGATAATATAATTGGTTACCCAACAAGATTTAATGGATGGTGGAAAATTAAGATTTAACTTGTGAAAGATTTGTAGGGAGAGAGAGAGAGAGAGATACCCGAGAGCAAGAGAGAGCAAGTAGGACAAAGCAGGTGTCTGCAATCCCATTGCACATACCACAATTGGAGAGCTGTAACTTAGCCCCATAAATGCCAAGTTTTGGAACAAAAACACGCTGCCTCCCAAGAACAAAATATATCATAATCAATACTCAAAAATATTCTTACAACAAAAAAAATATTATTTCTTCAAAATTTTGAGAGACCGACATAGAATGATAGGTAGTTTAATTTCTATATATCGAGGACATGAATTTATGAACCATGACCTTGTATTATACATATATACACTTACCCTGTGAAACCCAGAAGGAGCGTACATATAATGAAATTAAGCGTGAAGAATGTTCGATCGGTTCTGTGATGAAGGAAAGAAATGGATCAATGATCAGCGATGACCATAAATGATATGTATGATGAATGAAATGTAAATATCAATCCATAAACACTGGTTTGCTCTCCACAAGAACCCAAAACCCTAAAAGCTAATGGTCATTTGCGAAATACGTAAGTGGAAGTAATTAACAAGATTTTACCCACATGCACATGCATGTGAACGAACGAATATATGCGTGTATGCAAAGATACATATACATATACATATATATACCTCTCGTGTTGGTGGAACAAGAAAGAGTAAGGGACGAGGAGGAGAGAGCCAAGGGCGTTGGTGTAGACGACAAAGACAAAAGGGCTCATCCCTCCGGTCAAAGCGGTCTTGGCCAGGATGGTGAGAGCAATGGTGGATGCCTCCATCAACACCATCGCTCCGAATGGAACTGTGTCTTCCATTCTCCCATCCATTGATCTCATCTCTCAATGTAACGCGGATGACAAAAGGGAAACGTATATTTGCGATTTACAATGATTTAGAAGAGATGATGGGTGTTTGACAGATTGCAGAAATCTCTTCTAAGAAGGAAAAAAGGGCTAACGAGAGACTTTGTCCTCTACACAATTGTCTTAGGGTTGTAGCGATACATACATACATACATATATATATACCTAAGACCATAGGGAACCTAATTATAAGGGTAACAGGTCCCTATTTTTTTAATTCAAAAATTTAATCTTTTTATTATAAATTTTATAAAATTTTAATTAAAATTGTTAAACAAACCCATAGTAAAATTAAATTTGTTATTACTGTTACCTCATTATGATTTTTTCTAGATCCGCTGGCTATAGTTTATTTATTATATAATCTTGTGTATGTTTATGTCTTTGTGTGTGTGTTGTCATTGAGAGAAAAGCTCTTCTAGTAGATGTGGAGAGAGTCATTGTTAACCCTTCGTGAGGAGATGTAGCTAATTATTGGTTTCAACTCGTATGTATGTATGTATGTATGTATGTATGTATGTATGTATGTATGTATGTATGTATGTATGTATGTATGTATGTATGTATGTATAATGTATTGTATGTATGTATGTATGTATGTATGTATGTATGTATGTATGTATGTATGTATGTATGTATGTATGTATGTATGTATGTATGTATGTATGTATGTATGTATAATGTATGTATGTATGTATGTAGAATAAGACGACGAATGATGTCGCATGTCTTTATTTCATATATGTGAGAATATGCATGTACCATAAACACTGCATATATATATGTATGAGTATGTAGATAATATTTATTTTCTCGATATGGGAAGTCATTTTTTATTATTTTATATACATAATATAATAGAATAAATGAAAGTTTAATTCATAACAACAAAATTTTTTTTTTAAAAAAAAGAAAGAATCCAACCAAAAATGAAATTACACAAAGTACACAAATAACCTCAAGTTTGTTTGTTTATTCAGATTTGGCGATCGTTAGAAATAACTTATGAATATTATCGAACCTAGTAAAATATTTAAAGGGGGCACAAAGCCACAAATGTAATTTTAATATTTTAATACAGAGGTATTTAGCAAATATATTTAAAATTTTATAAAATTTATAGTAAAAATTAATATTTTTTATTAGAAGAATGGGGCATGTGACCCCATTTGTACTGTATTGGATCCGCCCCTAAACTCGTCATGAGAATTTCCCATTAATATTCTAAACTCTGACGCTATGAGAATTTCCCATTAATATTCAATTCTAAGGGTCGGTTTATTTTAATATACACACCGATTTGATTGCATATTATATTATTATAATTCCTACAACTTGAGATTTTTATTTCGATTAAAATTGTTTGCTGATACTCAGTTCATAAATTTATAAAGAAATGAAAATAAATTAATGTTTGAACTTTGAAAATTTCTTCGTTGATGAGACAAGGCCTCTTGCGTCGCATTTGGGACAGCGACAAATGACGCCGCAGTCGCCTGACATATTTAATACGAGAAATTAAGCTTACGTCATTGGAACATTCTACAGTTAATAGAAAAATAAAGACATGTAAACTGTTTTTATATATTTATTTAGGATGTTTGATGTATTTGATATCTTATTCATTCAAATTCTACAAATTTTATAACATTGTGAAAATATATCTTTTCAAATAATATGAAAATTTTGATGTATTGATATTATATTATTAAGTAGATAAAGAGTGTGTTGTAAGTTTATTTATAATTAATATTAAGCTATATATAATGTAATTATATAAATATAATATAGCAATACGATTTTTCATCGGAACCCTGTCACAAATAATAATAAAACTTATCGAGAAATTGGAAAAAAAAAATGGTCAGTGATTATTCATTTGTACGAATTAGTCGTGCTTCCCATTTTCTTATGCTGGTATCTTACGTATAGAGCAGACCATTTTGGCTTATTTCATAAACACGATATAAAATTAGAATCCCACGTGTGCAAATTATTTTGTAATTAAATTTTAAATAAAAATGACGCGAAGGGAGGTCCATTTAATCACATAATACTTCAATGAGATAAACAATTTTAAACATTCGCAACTGAAGAGTCAAATAACATCCACAAAAGTTATTGGCAAAAACCATATTTGTGGCTCCGTGTTTGTACGAGGGGACACAAAAATAACGAAATAAAAGAGTCGAAATAATGCTTGTTATGTTCATCATCAATTTACATAAAATAAAATATTATTGCTATATATAAATATATAATTTTTTTATATAGATATATATATTTGTGCTGCTTTTAAACTCGATATGTATTATCTATTAAATAAAAAAGTGTATATTATCCTAAGACTTGTAGAAATTAAATATAAAAATATTGTTGGTTTGTTTCTTCGGATTCTGAAAAGGTAAAAAAGACTTGTAAAAAATTATTATATAAATATGTACATTTTTAAATTTATATGCATGTAATAACCCGGGATTTTCACAATCGGATCGGAAGGGGCAGCTGACGATTCGAATCCAGAATCTAATGGAAAGACTACCTTTGATGTGGTCCGGATCGGACATGTTCTGGACCGTCCGGACCAAAACATTCCTGTTAAGTTTAACTTTTTCAATTCCTACGAGAAAAATGGAACAAGGGCCGGGAGAAAACCTTGGTCCGGACAGGACTGAATCGTAGTCCGTCCGGACCAGGTGCATAAATCGAGCGATGGACCGCTCGAACCAAAGAAGAAAAGGAGAAAGGCGTGTGATGTTCCGGACCGGATTGTAAGGCAATCCGCCCGGACCACAGATATCAGTACAGGGCGGACCAAATTTCAGTCCGAGCGGTCTGTGAAAAACCAAAAACCAGATGTAAAATCTAAAGAATTCCGATGAATCACCATCCTCCTATCACCACCTGCTTCTATTTGGGCTTTAAAAGAAAAACATAAAGTTGGCCCATTGAATGGTGAAAGAAAAAAACATAAATCATTTGGGCCACGACATAGTTGGGCTTTAAAAGCATGGGCTATAAATTTTCAAGGTAGGAATAAAAAAGTTGTCGGTCCATTGAAATTATTATTTATAGGTCAAAGTTCGAACATATTTCAAATAATTTGGTTAATATCTTTTAGTTTTCTTTTCTCTTTTCCAAAAAGTCTAACGCAACTTCCCACGGCCTTGTCTAATGTCTTCGTGAACGTACCACATAAATATTTTCTATTAGGTAATTAAGATTTTGATTTAAAAATAATAGTAATAATATGGGAGAAATAACTCTAGGTACAAAATTCATGAGAATTATTATTAACGACATTTTTTAGCAGCAAACCAAATAGCCCAGTGGTCCTACTTGAAATGGTGATCAAGATGGTTATATTTCACTCTAATTATGAAAAAAACATTTGAATATTACCATTCTGTTGGAAAATATTTAGAAACTATATATTACAATTTTAATCCAAATATAAAAAAATTGTAGACCATTGGTTTAATTTCTGTTTACAATCCAAATGTGGATAGCTCATATTGGAAAAGGTATTTATTTGGACGGGTATGGAGAGAGATGTAGTAAACTAGAGATCCATAAACTTTCGCCGAAATATAAATAAAAATATTTCTAGTTACAAATTTAAAAGAAACTAAATCATTATATCACAAAATTATGAGACTCTAGAATTAAAATTTGAATCTTACTTTTTATGATACGTGGATAAAAAATCAATATATATCATATCCAAAAACAATTATTCTCCCTAAAAGCCAGCAGAGAAATATGGATTAAGAGGAATACAATTCTAAGCACCTTTTGATTTTTGTGTTATATATATATGTATATATATATAAATATATATATATGTTTTGCATATTGGAGTTAAATTCTTGGTGTGGCATGAGAAGATAGAAGGAAAAGAAGGTATTGCTCAACACTGTGGCCACTCCTCACATGTGATATCCTCTCTGTAAAGACAATGAAAAGGGAATATATTGGCTAAGCAAAGCATGAATTCAACAAGTGCCCTTTGTTTGACATTTGAAATGACATTTTGGGTTTTGTTTTTAATATTTTCAACCACAAACTATTCATTATTTTTTTTTTCATTTTCATTTTCATTTTCGTAAATTATATTCAATTACAATAAAAAAAAAAATTGTGGAGAAGGAAGACGGTGTGTGCAAAACTCCCCTTTAATTTGGTTGGTTGTTAGGGAGAAAGTTGATAGCAATCAATGTATCATTTGCTTTGTCATCCTCTTTAAGGAGAAGCACATTATTTAGCACCTGACCGATTTTATTATATGTTTTAATGCACTAATTAATGACACCATCGTAGGATTAGGACATCATTCACATCCAATGCACTACAAACACGATTTCATGGCCAAGCTTTGTAGTTTGGGTCGGAAAATAACCAAACCAAATCGATTAAATCGTGTTTACATTAAAAAAAAAATAATTTTTTTTATATATACACGAAACGAACCCACAAATGCGAAACTATATTTTTAGAAATGACTAAGATTTCTAGATCTAAATGCTTTGAATATAATTACGAAACCCCTTAATTCTGTTACCTTCAAACATATCTATATATATATATACACACACACACACGAAAGAGAAGGGAAATTATTTTTACGAGTATGAGCTAAAAGGATAAAAAGTAAAGGGTCTCTATCTAAAAAAGAGACCCACATATCTCAGTGACATTGTCCTCCAACACATAAGATGTTGCCCTATTCCATACTCTCTATGATTGTTAGTCCTTTTCATACTTGTATTGTTTTTAGATGCTCACATCACCCAAAGTCCCACTCACCAAATTTTATTATCATTGCTCTACAAATGCTCACATACAACCACATATATATAGATATATTGATTTTTAAAATCAAAGTTTTGTTATGGTTTTTACTCTCTTTTTTTACTGAAATAATATTGGATCGAATAGCTAAAAAGATTAGGGTGACCATTTCGGGTTTCGGT